AGGCCGATAGCGGACCAAAGCGAGTACCGGCCGCCGACCCAATCCCAGAACTCAAACATCGAGTTCTCGTCGATTCCAAAAGCGGTTACTTTCTCTTTGTTTGTCGAAAGGGCGACAAAATGTTTGGCCACAGCTTTCGCATCGTTGGCAGACTTAAGGAACCACTCTTTGGCGGACTCGGCGTTAGTGATAGTCTCTTGAGTTGTAAATGTTTTCGACGCTATTATAAATAGAGTGGTCTCGGGATTCAGTTCCGACAGAATGACCGCCAGATGTGTTCCGTCGATATTCGAGCAAAAATGTACTTTAGGTCCAACTCTATAGTGTTTCAGCGCTTCCGTAACCATAACTGGTCCCAAGTCTGAGCCACCGATTCCTATGTTGACCACATCTGTGATCTTTTTGCCGGTATATCCCTTCCATTTGCCAGAAATGACATCATCGGTGAATGTCTTCATTTTGCCCAAAACACGATTCACTTCTGGCATCACATCATTTCCATCCAAAACGATAGGAGTGTTGGATCTGTTCCTCAACGCCACGTGAAGAACGGCTCGATTTTCGGTAAAATTAATCTTCTCGCCAGAGAACAGCTTCTTTCGCATTGTCTCCACATTACGACTCGCAGCCAAAGACAACAACAGATCCAACACTTCTTTGTTGATTAAATTCTTCGAGTAATCAAACAAAATGTGTCCGCCTTTTGGTGTCGAGAGCTTTACACTGAAAACACGACAAACACATCAATTGATTGCATAATACATAGCATTAAACGTAAATGTGGTTAAAATTGTGGATTGCATTGAAAACAGACCTGTATTTGTCAAATCGTTGCGAGTCTTCGGCGAACAGATCCACTAAATTGAGTTTCAAAGCGTTGTTCGTGTGATACGTCCGCAACTTCTTGTAATTTTGATCGTCGGTTAAGCCATTGTTTGACTGTTTGTCCGCTTCGACGGCAAACACATGACCAGCTCTTAACATATCGGAAGTGCTCTTCGCAGACATTGTTCACTCAATTGATGGCCAAACTTATCGTACGATTAGTTAAACACTTTTGTGTCAAATCAGAGACTGATTGTGAACTCAAAGCAAATGCACTCAAAAGTATAGCTAATGTCAAAACTTATGATTCAATTCTCACTACAATTGCATTGAATTGAAGGCAAAATGCATTACATTTTGTGCACACATTTGACACCGCCTTTCATACCAATCGCCAGACCCATAGACAGACACATCGACTCCGCCTTCACTTCACTATACGTTACATAACTTGTAGTGAATTAATGTCTCATCCGATGACAGACTTTCGTCTATCAGACACTTCACACTTTAATTGCATTTTAATGTTTGGTTTGATTAACTTTTTTGTGTATTAATAATATTAATAATAAATGCCAAACCAAACCCAAAATCTGATTCAAATTGAAGCCATGGTTTTACATGTGAACTACAAGTACACTGTATTTGAAATGTTTAGAGTCTAAATCTAAATCTAAACTTTAGATTGTAACCATAGTTGACTGTGATATAAACATAATGACCCTTGGTCAAATTATATTGAAAGGCATTTGGGCGCCGTAATGGTAATCACTGCTAAGTTGACGCTCTGTTCGGGAATTTGTATTATATAATGAAAGTACACTCTCTAAGGAGTCGTGTGGTATACTTGATATGGCCCGACAATGTCTGGGTTGGCCGCAGTGACCACTTTTATCCATTATAAATTGTTGACCTAAATGAAACAAGTTACAGCGAAAAGTAAAAAATGCAGTGCTAATTTTGTGCGTTATTTTATAGAAAAACATGATTACTTTAGTCAATTTATATCAATATTTATTATAATGATAATTGATTTTCCAAATTAAAATTAAATTATAATTTTTTACATGAACATTTTGTGCATTAAAACTTGCGCAAGCTTCCTTACTTTATAACGGTGAAATAAAATCTCCAAAATGTTCCTATTGAGCCAATTATCAAACTTTTGTATGGCTCACAGATTTCATGACCAAAACTTATTTAACATCCATTTAATGCTTTATTTATAATTTAACAAAACAAAGAGTTGTGTTTGTATTGAGTGATACATAGCATGTAATAGCATAGCATATATCGGTTGATATGATTTGAATCAAAACATATTTTAATTTTAGTTGATCTTAAATTCAAGCAAAAAATAAAAGTTATAAAATTGCTACAAAAGTTTCTTAAGTTACAAATATTATACAAATGATCAATATTGGGAATTAATGAAATATTTGCCCAGGTCATTATTATATCAACATTTCAATTACATTTTTATTTATTCCCATTATCTCTAAAATAAATTATAAATGGTTCCATGGTAAAATGATTGTTTCATATTTTTGTATAATGTGTACAAGGTGGTTTGATGACAGTTGTAACAATAACACATAATTAAATAGGTTATCAGTGATAACTTATCACATATTAGAGTATATTTAATATTTTGTAATATGAAATTTAATAAATTGTATTGAATTACATTTGAATCAAACAAATAATTCACACATTATTTGAACTCAAAAATTAAACAACTCTTTGCTAAACAGTTGTGCAATGGATATAATAGGGACGCTATAATAGGGTAGCGCTGAATGTGTGGCACAATGTTATGTAACGTTGTTTGCGAACGAGTGGTGAATGCGATGGCAAAGACAGACAATGAAGGGATGAAACGATTGCTGAATAAATACAACACAAAACTAGCGATGAATTGATGTTAACGTAAATGTGATTATAATTCAAATATAATAGTAATTAATTAAATACTTATTTCATATAATACTTAAGACTTTGTGTTAAGCCATGAATTGTAGTGTGAATTGAGTGTTGAAATGAAGGGACGACTGGTTGTGAGCAAAAGCGGTGCCAATCATGAGATGTCGCGACCAGTGGTGCCGTCGGGCAGACACTCGGCCGCCGCTCACGAGTCAAACCCGTCGTATTTGACGTACTGTTCGTCCCATCCATTGGTTGACAACAATTCAAATCAATTAATTAGTCAACAAAACAGTCATTCGAGTCATGCAAACAATCACTCGTTGCCGCCGATGAGCTCTTTCGTGGCCACCAATCCGTCGCAAACAGTGGTCAGTCATGTGAACGCCGGCCGCACGACCGGCACAACCCATCACCAGATGCTCAACAGCCAAGACTTGAGCATTGAGTTGTTGTCCGCACAGACGAGTGCAGAGCTCGACACTTACGGCGGCGACCACTTGGACCAGACGTTTGTGGACGCGTTGAATATGTCTCAGTTCGTGTTCGACCCCTTCCTCTCCGACGGACAGTCAATGGCGGCTCAAGTGAACAGTAATAACGAAGAGACGGTGTATTACTCGTCAGAGATGTCTGATTTGGGTCCTCAGGTGACCTCTCAGACCACAGCACACTCACAGACGCCCAGCACTCAGGCGTTTGGCTTAACAATAGGTCCGCATATCAGTGACATCTTTTCAGTGTTGGACTCATTGACAGAATCGGATGCGTTGACCGAAAGTCTTCTAAACGGTGATCATTATTGTACTTCAGAGCCGTTGGTTTCGCAACAAAATCTGAATTCCAACACATATTTAACCCAAAATCACGAACACATTCAGACGTCGATTCAAATTCCGGCCAATTTGGCCGCTAATCAGATGATGCCTAACGGCTCACAACCGGTACACTTGACGCCTATAGTCCTTTCGCGACCTCCGCTTCAAACGCAGCCATTGATGGCTCAGCCGTTGATGCAAACGACTGACACATCAAATGCCAGTCAAATGGCAAACCAATCAATGAGTATAAAGCGAACCGAAATTCAAAGTATAGACAAAACAAATGCCAAAATTGTAAATACAAACGAGAAGAGAGTTGCCATCAAATTGAGTCCAAGAGTTGAGACTAAAGAGTTGATCGAAGAGACCAAATGTTTTAAGTGTATTATTTGTAACTTTATTTCACTCGAGAAATCAATTGTAAGCAAACATTTGGCAGAAAAACATGAAAACGAGACAAAAATGACTTTAGTTGACGACAACACGAAGTCGATGGTCAACACCAACAACAAGAAGACCAACACATATATGTGTTCCAAGTGTTTCAAAGGGTTCGCCACTTTGTCGGCGTGTCGTCAGCATATGGTTAGTCTCCATAAGCTTAAGGTCGATAACGTGACACTCGAGACCATCGAATGCGACCAAAACATTAGTCCCGTTAAAGACAAGAGTATCACAAAGAATCTACAGAAGGAAGTGTTGAGCGAAACACACGATAACTCGCTTAATAAGACGGCATCAAAGCTGAGGGCTATTCTGCCGAACGGCAAGATTGAAGTGCAACAGCAGACGGCGGCCGCCAATCGGCGAACTAAACCAGTGATTGTGACCAAAAGTCATCACAACTATTATAATCATAACAACCAAAACACAAACATAACGAACGCAAACGTTCTCAACAATCATAACAATCATATGAATGTGAAACGTCTGGCGTGGAAGAAGAAGGTGAAGCGAGAACAGGGAACCTATATCTGCGAGTTCAAGGGCTGTTCCGTCCGGTTTAGGGCTCTCGAGAATCTCCAGAAGCATCACAGGTGTCACTCGGACTCCGGTTCGGGCTTTGTTTGCTCTAATTGTACGAAAAGCTCAGAGCAGTGGTCGTCAATGGCTGGCCATCTGTGGCGGAGTCACGGCATTGATTTAGAGCTTCACGCGTGTGAGCACTGCTCGTACCGGACATATAGTCTCAGTATTTTGGAGAACATTCATAAACGCATTCATAGCAATGAGAAGAACTTTCTTTGCGATACGTGTGGCAAAGGATTCAAAAACGCTAAACAACTCATTAACCATAAGGTATGCAATTTGTACACCAAATTACTGTATTATATAAGTATACGATCTAATCAATTGATTGATAGGTTAAACACGTGGTAAAAGCACCGGTCATGAAGACACACGAGTGTCATATATGTTTGCGAACCTTCAACGACGCGCGCACTAAGAAAGTCCACTTAAACAATGTTCACCACAAGACCCGTCCCTATATCTGCAATCATTGTAACCATTCAGCCGCTAGTCGTAGTGCCTTAAGGACTCATATGAGACAACACACCGGAGAGAAGCCATTCAAATGTGATAAATGTAATTATACTACAAGTGATCACAACTCACTTCGAAGACATAAGATGAGACATTCGGGCGAACGGCCCTATAAGTGCCCCTTTTGTAGCTATGCTTGCATTCAGGTATCATTTCCATCACATCCAAGCTATCCATTATTCATAACTAACATTGATTTTGATTCTTATAGTCGAGTACTTATAAACAACACCTTAAGAACAAACATCCGGGTCTTAGCGAAGGGATTATGTTTAACTGTCAGTTCTGTGGCTTTAAAACAGTGAATCAGGATATGTACGGAACGCACATCTCTGAACACATGAGGAATAATGGCACCAAAGAGGCCATGAAAGCCAATAAAGTAGAGACTGATGTGGACTCAGCGTTGATGACACCGGACAGCCCAACACTTCACTTCGCTTGTATTGTCGGACAAAGCATTTCGAGTCAAACTAATACTCCGAGTATTTCCTATGCATCAGAATTTGTAAAATAAAACATAAATCTTGTTTTCATAACGATTTTTATACTTATTTTGATTACATATTTCATCACTTCTTTTAAGAACTAAGTCATCATTTATTGGGATTTGAAGACCAAAACTGGTTCTGTATTTACACACAAAAAGGGAGCGGAATTTCAAACAATTCTCTGTTTTTAATTTTATTTTAATAATACATGATTTTTTCAATCAAATTCTTAAGTTTTAGTCATTTAAACGAAAAACAATTGTAATTTTTTATTCAAACATATTTTTGTAATTATTATTATCATGAGTTTATTTATAAGAAGATATTTCCTATCAATATTTAGCCATTACTTAAAATTAATTTAAATTAAAATAATCTAATTATATATACCCTTAAAAATGAGTAATTCTTGAAAGTTTACAAAATGTAATGAAACTCTAATTGAAAAGTTATTTTCACACAATTCTGTTAACACAATAGAAATTCTCGGTTTGATTTAAATCTCAAAGATTTTGTGAACTTCTTATCGATTAATTCGTTACTAAAATTTAGGTGAAATTAAGTACAAAATAAAGTTTTCATTTGAAAAAAANTTCTGTTAACACAATAGAAATTCTCGGTTTGATTTAAATCTCAAAGATTTTGTGAACTTCTTATCGATTAATTCGTTACTAAAATTTAGGTGAAATTAAGTACAAAATAAAGTTTTCATTTGAAAAAAAGAGATTCGTTTTGTTGTAATTAAAATATAAATAAATGCCAAATAAATTGATTTTTGTTTGACAAAAAAGTTGTCCTCATATTTATTTATAATTTATAACAAACTGCTTTTCATATCGTTATTATAATTAAATTTTAATTTAAATTCTTGAACATAAATTGAATACAATTTATTAATTATTCTGTAGTATTGTATAACAGAATCCCCTTAAATCACACTTTACACCAAAACCTAATATCAAACGCTTTAAAAATACATACAGTTTTTGTTTGGTTTTTTATCGACATTTGTCTTCTATGAACATAAATGTTAATAAAAATGGATAGAAAAATAAATATATTGATCAGATTCTGTACTCTTTTAAAACTATACATTTGTAACTAAAAGTGTCCGACGATTAATATTGAGTGACGTAAAGTGATATCAATTTTTAATTTAAATACTTTCCAATAAGTGCTGCAATAAATTGGACAAAATGTGAAAGAATTGGTGAATATTATCACTTAAATAGCAGCTCTTTAAGTATTATTCTTTATATCGATTTATTTAAACACATGATTTAGTTTTTATATTTATAGCACCATTAAATATTAATACCATATAAGTTATTACTAATTGCTGAATATATAAATTTAAAAATTATATTAAGTGATTATGCTAACTTTATTGGCTTTTTAGCTTATTAAGCTTTCCTATTATATGATTGTAAGGATTATAAAGTATTAAGTTTTAAATCCCTAAAACACTGTATTACAGCATGACCTTGAACAAAAATAGACTGAGAATCTGATTAATTAAAATATGACTGGATAGGTATGATGAGCAAGGTGTCTATGTTATAAGCAAAATGAAGGCAAAATGCATTACATTTTGTGCACACATTTGACACCGCCTTTCATACCAATCGCCAGACCCATAGACAGACACATCGACTCCGCCTTCACTTCACTATACGTTACATAACTTGTAGTGAATAAGTGTCTCATCCGATGACAGACTTTCGTCTATCAAACACTTCACACTTTAATTGCATTTCAATGTTTGGTTTGATTGACTTTTTTGTGTAATAAATGCCAAACCAAACCTAAAATGTGATTCAAATTGAAGCCATGGTTTTACATGTGAACTACAAGTACACTGTATTTGACATGTTTAGAATCTAATAGAATCTAAACTAGAATCTTTTAGATTGTAGTAATAGTTGATATAAACATAATCACCCTTGATCAAATGCATTTGGGCGCCGTAATGTTAATCACTGCTAAGTTGACACTCTGTTCGGGAATTTGTATTATATAATGAAAGTACACTCTCTAAGGAGTCGTGTGGTATACTTCATATGGCCCGACAATGTCTGGTTTGGCCGCACTGACCACTTTTATCCATTATAAATTGTTGACCTAAATGAAACAAGTTACAGCGAAAAGTAAAAAATTGAGTGCTAATTTTGTGCGTTATTTTATGAAAAAACATGATTAATTTAGTCAATTTATATCAATATTTATTATAATTATTATGATAATTGATTTTCCAAATTAAAATTAAATTATAATTTTTTACATGAACATTTTGTCATTTTGTCTATTAGAACTTGCGCAAACTTCTTTACTTTCTAACGGTGAAATAAAAATCCCGCAAAATGTTCCTATTGAGCGAATTAACAAACTTTTGTATGGCTCACACATTTTATGACCAAAACTTATTTAACTTCCATTTAATGCTTTATTTATAATTTAACAAAACAAAGAGTTGTTTGTATTGAGTGATAATAGCATAGCATATATCGGTTGATATGATTTGAATCAAAACATATTTTAATTTTAGTTGACTTAAATTCAAGCAAAAAATAAAAGTTATAAAATTGTTATAAAAGTTATAAAATTGCTATAAAAGTTTCTTAAGTTACAAATATTATACAAATGATCAATATTGGGAATTAATAAAATATTTGCCCAGGTCATTATTATATCAACATTGCAATTACATTTTCATTTATTCCCATTATCTTTAAAATAAATTATAAATAGTTCCATGGTAAATGTTTGCTTCATATTTTTGTAAATATTTTCATATTTTTATATGTGTACAAGGTGGTTTGGGGACAGTTGTAACAATAACACATAATTAAATAGGTTATCATACAGTATATTACAGTATACTTAATACTTTGTAATATAAAATCAAATAAATTGTATTGAATTACATTTGAATCAAACAAATAATTCACACATTATTTAAACGCAAAAATTAAACAACTTTTTGCTAAAGAGTTGGGCAATGGATATAATAGGGAGCCTATGATAGGGTAGCGGTGAATGTGTGGCACAATGTTATGTAACGTTGTTTGCGAACGAGTGGTGAATGCGATGGCAAAGACCAGACAATGAAGGGATGAAACGATTGCTGAATAAATACAACACAAAAATAGCGATGAATTGATGTTAACGTAAATGTGATTATAATTCAAATATAATAGCAATTAATTAAATACTTATTTCATATAATACTTAAGACTTTGTGTTAAGCAATGAATTGTAGTGTGAATTGAGTGTTGAAATGAAGGGACGACTGGTTGTGAGCAAAAGCGGTGCCAATCATGAGATGTCGCGACCAGTGGTGCCGTCGGGCAGACACTCGGCCGCCGCTCACGAGTC